GTGCCTTCCACCCCACATCAGTGCCGCTCTGGCCCCCACTGTCTGCTTCAGGGAGTCTTATGTGTACCCTGAGTGATGAGAGGTGGTGTTGTACAGTGGTTGGAACCATTGTAGTCTGGAGACAGACTATAAGAGTTTGAAGCTTAGCTCTTAGTATTTATTTATTTAACAGTTCATTTAACCTCTCTGTGCCATGGTCTCCTCGTTTGTACATTGGACGAGACCAGGCACGTTCAGGGTGGTATGGCTGTAGACCATTTGTTCATTGGATGTCTTATAAGAGTACAATCAGCCCTCCACATCCTTAGCGTCCACATCCATGGATTCAACCAAGGGTGGGTCAAAAATATTTGAAAAAAAAATCCAGTGAAAAATAATAATACAATAATAAAACAATAATACAATAATGTATTATTCTGACAAGCTTAAATGCCACGTAAACAATACTACTTACGTAGCGTTTACATGGTATTAGGTCTTACAAGTAGTCTAGAGATGATTTAAAGTATACGGGGATATGGTACTTAGGTTATATGTAAATACTACACCATGTTATATAAGGGACTTGAGCACCCGTGGCTTTTGGTATCTTCAGGGGTCCTGGCACCAATCCCCCGTGGATATGAAGGGGCAACTGCGCTGTTTTAGTGTGAGAGTAATTTTCCCGTTTCCTTGGAATGCTATACCTCCTTTGGCGAGGCAGGAAATGCAGTGTCTGAAATCAGGCTCTGTAGACTCATCCTCGGCCCGGCCAGAGCCTTCCTTGGCTTGCGGGGGGGCAATGATGGGTGGCTGCTCTGGGGTCTGTTTTTCCTCGTTCTCCCACTTCTGAAGGTGGGAGGGAGACGGCCCTTCCCTCAGGTGAGGTGCCGGACTCTGTCAGACTCAGGTTGAATAATCATCTCCAAACCACACCCCTCCACGCTTCCCTTCCCCATCCAGCAGCTATTCCTTGTCCTAAGGCTGGTTGTGCATCCCGGTCAGTTCCCTTCCTGCTTTCTGTGTGTTCCTGATCTGTCAAGTGGAGGGGGCAGGGTGACACCAACGTCCCGGCCCTCTGACACTCGGTCCACATCACGTGGAGGACTCTTCATAAAAAGTACCTCCCTGACTACTTAGCTTCCTGTTCCTGCTGTATGTACAATGTAAGGAAATTACTTCCGCTAAGAGAACTCTACTTCTCTGATAAAGAACTCTACTACTTAGCAGTCTCTTCCCTTCTTTCTTTTCCCTTTTTACTACTGGGAATAAGTAAACCATCCATGGCCCTGGTTCAAGGGACCACACGTTTCTAATTACCCACGTCCTAGTTATTTTCCATGGCTAGATTTCTATGGCAATACTGAAAATATTATTTTTCATAATTATAATGGGTCTTTAGCTTATTCAAAACATCTGGTAAAAATAAATCAACACGTATTTTTAGAACATAAAGTGTTTGTAAGTATTCATTCTGCCACTGGCCCTTTGGCTAGCACACGGGGTCCCTGTGCACGGCTCTCGGCCAGCGGCGGCCAGCCTACCTGTCAGGCAGATGCCCTTGGTGCTGTTGCACAGGTCCACCATCACTCGGACCTGCGGGGAGACAGGGCGATTAGGAACACACAGCAGGCAGCAAGCCCTGGACTTGCCCTTTATTCAGACAAGCAGAAAACGATCATAAAAATTCACTACGTAACTTTAGGAGAACATGCAGAAGTCCAGCGAAAATACAGTCATGTGCCACATAACGACGTTTCAGTCAACAACCGACTGCATAGGTGATGGTAGTTCCGTAAGATTATAACGGAACTGAAAAATTGCACATCATAGCACAGCGTTTTACTCGCGTGTTTGTAGTGACGCTGGTGTAAACAAACCTACTGCACCGCCAATCATAAACAGCATAGCACATATTATTACATAAAGTACACATTTGATAACGGTAATAAATGACTGTTACTACTTCATGTATTTACTATACTATACTTTTTTAAATGTTTTAAGTTTTTCCAGCTGATACCTTGATTTCACTATACTTTTTAATTGTTAGGGTATATGCCTTCTAGTTATAAAGGGTTAATTGTAAATCAGCGTTAGGCAGGTCCTTCAGGAGACATTCCAGAAGAAGGCATTGTTATCCTAGCAGATGACAGCTCCATGCATGCTATTGTCCCTGAAGACCTTCCAGGGGGACAAGATGTGGCGGTGGAAGGCAGTGATATTGATGACCCTGACCTTAATGTTTGTAGGCTAATGTTTGTGTTTGTGTCTTAGTTTTTATAAAAAATGTTTAAAAAGTAAAAAAAATCTAAAAAACAGAAAAAGCTTAAAAAATAAGAATGTAAAGAAAATATTTTGTACAGCTATACAATGTGTTTGCTTTAAGCTAATGCTATTACAAGTCAAAACATTTAAAAAATGTTAAAGTTTACAAAGTAAAAATGCTACAGTAAGCTAAGGTTAATTTATTATTGAAGAAAGAAAAATATTTCTTATAAATTTCATGGAGCTAAGTGTACAGTGCTTATAAAGTCTATAGTAATGTACAATAATGTTCTAGGCCTTCACATCCACTCACCACTCCCTCACTGACTCACCCAGAGCAACTTCCAGTCCTGCAAGCCCCATCCACGGTGAGCACCCTATACAGGTGTACCATTTTTTATATTTCATACCATATTTTTACTGTACCTTTTCTTTTTTTTTTTTTTTTTTTGAGACAGAGTCTCACTCTGTTGCCCTGGCTAGAGTGAGTGCCGTGGCGTCATCCTAGCTCACAGCAACCTCAAACTCCTGGGCTCAAGCGATCCTTCTGCCTCAGCCTCCCGAGTAGCTGGGACTACAGGCATGCGCCACCATGCCCAGCTAATTTTTTCTATATATTTTTAGTTGTCCAATTAATTTCTTTCTAATTTTAGTAGAGATGGGATCTCGCTCTTGCTCAGGCTGGTTTCGACCTCCTGAGCTCAAACAATCCGCCCGCCTCGGCCTCCCAGAGAGCTAGGATTACAGGCGTGAGCCACCGCGCCCGGCCTACCGTACCTTTTCTATGCTGAGATTTGTTTGGATACACAAATACCATCTCGTTACAACTGCCTACCCTGTTCGGTAGAGTAGCATGCTGTCCAGGTTTGTAGCCCAGGAACAATAGGCTGTACCACGTAGCCCAGGTGTGTCGTAGGCTACACCATCTAGGTTTGTGTGAGTGCACTCCATGATGTTTGTGCGATGACAAAATTGCCTAACGACACATTTCTCAGAAAGTATCCCAGTTGTTAAGTGATGCATGACTATAGTTAACTTGAAACTGAAAAGAAACCCTAACAAGAGCTAAGGATATTTGATATGGATGGCTTACCTATCAACATCATCAACAGACTCTCCTTGATTTCTATCGAATCCTGATAGAGGGTGACAAGGGACTTGCCAGATCCAATTTTCACCACTGTACTGAGCCAGGCTCCCCACACCCACCCCTGCCCAGCATCTGGGTGTCTGAAGGGCTGAGTCTGCAGGCGTGAATAAAAAGGGGAGGCGAGTTTGGTGGTTAGGAGCGAGCACTTACTGACTGGGTGAGCATGGACGAGGTACTTAACCTCTTGACACTTAGTCTCTTCCTCTGACAATGTAAATAATGTAAGCACCTGCCTTGAGGATTGAGCCAGCTCAGTGCCTGGCACTGGAAACAGCCCCTAGGTGGTAGTGATTCTCATGCCACGTGGATGCTGCATATTCTCCCCAGATCACCACTGGTGGTGGGTGGTCGCTGCAACGTGGTGTTAGCCTGACACCTGGTTCGCCCACACTCCCTGTACTCCCCTTCCCATTCTCCACGCAGCTTCCAATGAGCATCACAAAACCCAAATCTGATCGTGTTAAATACATAGGCTGGTACTGAAAATTCTCTAAGATAAATGAAAAGATGCAAAATACAGAGCAGCAGGTATAACATACTTTTGTTCATGTAAAACTGTGGTACATGCACACAGGCTTCTGTATGCTTCTCTTTTGCTGCTTTTAAAATTCTCTTTGTCTTGTCTTTCTAGAATATTCCTGGAGACAGATCTAAAAAACCTCCAGTGAGGGGGAGTGGAGGGCCAGGGTGGCAGGGAGCTGTACTAAGCATGATATGCTCTTTTTCTTATTCAGAATTTTCACGGATTACTCTTTCATTTAAACTGTTATTAAAAAGCACGTTTTGCTTTGAGGGGAAAAATGATTTTGTCTTCTCTCTAGGTGTATTCCATTTGCTAGGAGATCCAGAGGAAAACGCGCCCCATATTTACTTTTTGTCAAGTATGTCGACAGGTATTTATCAACTGCTTTAGAAATTTATCATGAAATATACAGATCATAAATATATAAAATGTGTACGAGCAATTTAATGATAAATAATATGACAAACACATACATACGACTCCAGCTTAAGAACTGCAAACTTGCCAATGCCTTGGAAACGTCCCGGGGGCCCCTCTCCAGCTCCAACAGCTCCCTGAGATGAAGCACACTAGGAAGCATTACTCTCCCTCTTACACAGATAAGGACGCGGAGGCTTGGAGAGCCGACGTCATTCACTCAAGGTCACACGTGTGCTCGCACAGCGTGCTGGTGGAAGAGGTGGGCTCGACTTCCAGGTTTCCTGATTCGGGCTTCACTGCACTTTCTATTGTGGCTCTGATGATTATCTTAACGTAACCAGACATAAAAAATTTTGATTCGCTCTTTTTAGTCATTTTCATAAATGAGTGTAATCAGCCACACTGCAGAACAAAATTTATTGTCTTAAAAAATATGTAATTGCCCATTGAAAGGACCAGAAAAGACTTCACAATGGCCTCATTTGTTGCCTGGGGGATCACCGCGGAAGGGGTAGTTTGAAACAACAGAAGCATCAATAGGGAAGATTAGCCTTTCTCTTGGATGCTCATCGCTGATCTGGGGCAGGTGAAGCTTCTGTAAAAACTATGAAGGAGTTTTCATTTCCTGACCTTTTGGTTTCACTTATATGCTAAACGTTAATTTAGATATTTACCAGTAAATTATGTTAATCTTTGCTCGAGAATAGTCTTTTAACAAATTCGGGCTATATAAGATTGTATTGAGATGACACGTGATATGAAAAAGTGTGGCCATAAAGTCAGAAACCATGTTTTTCTTGATCGTAATGATTAAGAATTTGGATGAAAATAAGAAAATTCAAGATTGAAAGTCACAAAATCTAGATTGTCAAATTAAGGATTCACATTTGCCATAAAAAACCTCCTAAATCTTGGTTCAGGATTTGACAATGTTGAAGCTGGAAGAGGCCTTAGAGGTCACAGTCTTGGGGGGATTGGGCATGATCCATCCCTGATGTGGCCCCGGCCTGCTCTCGGAGGTGTCTCCTGCCACTCTGCTCCCATCACTCTGGCCACTATCACCGGTCTTTGCTACGCCCCCACATCTTTACCTGGTTGGCTCTGCTCGGGTCTTGGGCCACTTTCCCCGATTCCCACCTGCAGGGAGCCCAAGCAGCCACTCCCCATCACCATGCCTGGCTTTTTGTCTTTGTAGCATTTATCATTACCCAGTGTTATCTCACTTACATATGTATTTACTTACTACCTGTCCCCACTCCCCGAAGAATGGAAGCATTCTGAAAGCAGGAAAACTTGCTCTTTGTTTGGTCTGTTTCCAACATATGCTATTTCTCCCCAAAAGCACATGTTGGAAACTTAATCCCCAGTGCCACAGTGCTGGGGTGGGGGGTGCTCATAGGAGGTGTTTAGGCCGTGAGGGCTGCACCCACATGGATGGCTTAGTGCTCATTACAACAGGGCTTGAGTTCCATCTCTCCTTCCCTCTTGCCCTTTTGCCTTTTGCTAGGGGATGATGTAGCAAGAAGGCCCCCACTAGATTCTGGCTCCTTGATCTTAGACTTCCCAGCTTCTGGAACTGTGAGAAATAAATTCTGTTCATTTCAAATTACCCAGTCTGTGGTATTCTATTATAGCAGCACAAAACAGACTAGGACCCCCTGTGTCTAGAACAGTGCCTGGTTCCAGGCCTAGAACTTCTCTTCAAGAGAGAAGTGGTTCAAGCAGAAAGCACATCAACAGTGTCCAAGGGAGAACTTTCCTTGAGAGAGGTGACAGTGAATTGCAGATGGTTTATGAAACGATAATCTGGTGGTCCTGGGAAGAGGTGGGGGAGGCACATGAAAAGGTCCATGGTAGTGGAGGGAAGTCCCTCCCAACCCAGCCGGGCTAGCATGGAGGACATGTTTTGTGGGAACAATGGCTGCCACCCTGAATGCGAAATACATAATGGTACCTCTGAGAGCTTAGGCATAGTACGCTCTAGGCCATAAGCATCACTGAGGAGGTAGAACTCTCTGCCCGGAAGAAATACTGGAGCCCATCATGTTCATCTCCCAGGTGAGAAGACCAGTGCGGCAATGGTCAGGGACAATCACATTGTGTGGGGGCTTGTTCTCAGCACTGACAACATATGGAGTGGCTATGATTTGAAGGTCCCCTCCAAGGCTCATGTTGAAACTTAATGCCCAACGTGGCAGTATTGAGAGGTGGGGCCTTTTAAGAATGACTGTCATT